CCAATTAGCAGACAGATGAAAACGTGAATTTTCCGCACCAGGTGGAAAGTTGTTTTTCCAACTTGTGCCATGTTTTTCGAGACTGACAGACGTACGTTTCAATTATTCCCGGGCTGGACCCTCTCACGCGAAATACCCCTCATACTCCTCTTTGGATACAGGTTCGCATTCCACAACAACTGACCGTGGTCCAATAAATCATTTGATTTGTACACTTGCCCGCGGCGTATCCAGGATGAAGTGGAACGAACACCAGGGAACTCCAACTCGTCGGAGGCACGTGGTGTGCGTGCCTTCCGGTGCTAAATCAAGGCGTGCGCTTTCAAATTGTCTTACCTTTCGGTAGGACCATGGACCAACCCATACCGTGGACCCAACCCCAACCCCCCCCATTCTCATTCCCTCTGCATTTCCCATCCCCGTTCACCCACATACATTGTACATACCCCTGGCGAACCAACTGTAGTTAATATTTATGGCGATTTAATCTTCTCACTTGAGCGCTGCTCAGTTAAGTTTGATAGAGACCAAGCCCAAGGGGTCAGATCTTTTCCAATTCCCCCCCTTTAAAGGGACTTTACACGGTGCCAAAATAATGTCTATATCAAATTTAGATATCAAATTGCAATTAAATTGGTAGATTTAAAAATTATGAAGGCTGCTTTTGAGGGATGTCTAAGGAGAAGCTGATGATGAAGGGTTTTGTCGTAAATAAGAGTTTAGTTTTTGGTTAAATTAAATTATAGTATAATTTTTTAAATAGAAAATTTTGTTAAAATTTTTTAAATTAAATTTTTTTAAAAACCCCAACAAATCCGAATTCTATCAAGTGCAAAAACCTCAAAAAGAATTAGTTTTCAAAGAAGATTTTATAACATAAAATATTTTAAATACATATATGATTAAAAATAAAATATATTTATATATTTTTTTTAACTAAAATCCCCTTTTCTTTTCCTTCCTTTTTTTTCTCTTTGTGTATCATTCTTTTTCTCTCTCTTTTGGGATGACCCTTTTTTCCAAGGCAGAGATCCTTGGAACCAGCTCCTGCCGGCTCACAGTTTGTTTTGCGTGTCCATTTAATTTCCGCCTGAAATTGCTTAATCAAACACAGAACATGAGGATAAGCCTCTCTGACCCCCGCTTTACCCCATCCCCTTTAATACGCCGCCCCTGAACTCTGGACAAATCGCTTGAGCTTCATATGGGCAAACGCTAAAGTTGGCTTAATGAGTAGTTTAGCTCATGTTCCCACCGCCATTCAGGGAAGGGGTTTGCCATTTTTCGGGAAGGGAGCTTGGGTGTGTGTTTGTGGGTTAAGCAAAAAGCAATGTGCATTAGCAACAAATTGTTATTGTTGCCAGGCTGAAGGCGATAAGCAAAAAGTTAAGCTTACTTCTTTTTGGGACGGAAAGAAGATACAAAATTATCAGAGAGGGATAAAATGGGAAGATAATAATAATAATATTGCTATAATTAAAGGTCCAGTAATGTTTAGTGCAACATAGAAGGCAAGAAAAAGTGTTTAATGTAGTTACAATTAAAAAATCAATTAGAAATCCATATTAAATCGATTTTTATCGGTTTTGCCATCTGTTATTTTTCGATATAAAAAATTAAATTTTACTCTAGTTTAGCAAAATTCTCCCTACACTTAATCTTTAACTAATATTCAAAATAAGCATATGGCCAGTCTCAGGCTTCACATTTAATCGATTTTTTTAAGGACCTCTCAACCATTTGTTCGTTTATCTATCACTGATCACATAATCTCCCAAGCTGCAGCTCTCCAACCCCATATTTCTATTTCGAAACGAAAATCCAGTGAAGTAGCAAATCGCTGCCTCGATTTCAGGGCGTATATAACCCACATCGAAGGCTGTAATTTAAATTAATGACACACAACAATTGGACACGCCCCCATCCCGTATGAGAAGGAGAGGCAGGCGAACCTGAGGCCTTTTATTCTTTATTTTCAATTAAACAAATAGCTGAATTTGACATTTTTTGTCGAGAAAGAAAGTTCAAAGGGAAAAATCATAAACGGAAATAACAAGTCGATGAGAACGACGATGACGACAACGAAGAAACGGGAAACACAAACGCGATAAGAGCGATGACAGGCTCTGCTTGTACCCCCAACCCCCTCTTTTCGACGTCACTGTGTGGGTCCTTATCGCCGCCCTGGCATCGAGTCGAGTCCTGCAATTCCTGGTCTAAGCAAATGTTTGCTTTTCTCCAACCAACCATCATCATCATCGTCATCATCATCTCTCTTCATCTCGTTCCTTTAAGGCGATTACTTGGATTTCCCGGAAAAAAAAAAAAAAAAATTCAGTCTTGAATAGAAAATTGGGGAAAAAAAATGAACACATTGCAGTTCAGTTTCATTCATGATTCAATTAGCCACAGATGGGTGAACTTTAATGGGGAAAACGGAAGTCCTGAAATTCCTATGCCATGCAAACCTATTGTTAAGGCTTTAAAATTAGTGTGAAATTGATTTTTACTAAAGGAAAATTAAAGTATTTGATGGAGTTTTATTGGTCGAATGGCACTACAGTTGGCTAATCCCATACCAAAAATAACACATTCTTAGATTAACCAAGAATCTCACAAAAATCCAAACCAAGTACAAAGGCAAAGACTTGCAAAGCAGAGTACATCTAGTACATTGAGTACCTGGCTACCTGGCTACCGTTAGCTGTCAGATGTCAGCCGTCAGTGTCAGATGCATTGTAAATTACAAGTTCATTTGCCACTACATCCGCTTAAGCGCTTAAGCCAGACCCTTTTCTGCTCTCTGTCTCCCTCTCGCTTAGCTCCAAAAGCTGCATAAGTTATGAGTTTAGAAAGAGATGAAGAAATCGGCATTGAGGTAGAGCAAGCAGGACAGATAAAGAACGGACCAAGGTACAGTCACCTCGCTAATGAAACATAATGAGGCGCCATTAGCGAGTGTCGTCTTTGCTAACTGTACACTTAAGCACTGTTGGGCGCCAGTCAACCGTAGAATAGCAGTGTGGCTGTACTTTAATTTCATTGTATGCAGTCCGGTCACATTGGTCAAAACTAAATAGTGACGAAAGACAAAAAAAAAATATAATAATAATGAATGCGCCTCAAGCATCATTAGCATCTTGGCGGCAGCTTCACTTTTCACGCTTTTATTTGATTAGTTCATCATTTATTATTATTAATTAATGGCGGCTTTGGCATACGCTGTTTTATTATTAACCATTATTAAACAGCCCCGAACAATAACAAATTCGAGGCGATTATCATCATAATTGCGGATATGGTATACAATTTATTATATGGTATGTTCTACACACTTTGGGAAATCCTAACAAACATAACATAATAAGAGAAGAGCTCAACACAAAAACCAGTTTGTATTTCTATTTTGGTTTTTCGGGTTCAACTGCAGCCATCCCAAAAGCTGGCGATGATGCGGCAAAAGTATTTTTAAACTTTAATCCCCTTTCAGACAGACTCAATTTATGCACTAATTTATTATTATTATTGGATACTTTAGCTAGTAATTTTTTCTTTTATTTGTAAGCGTGCTGCCTGGTTTTAATTTTTTCACTTTTCATTTACTATTCAAAGTTGTTTCATTAACCCTGAACCCTCTGCTTTGAACCTTATACTTTGGCTCAGCGCCTTTGGGTGTTTTTAACACCCATTTATACTCATTAGATTCACCCGGTGAGGAATTTTGCCAAAGTTTGCTACCGTTTTCGGGCCAAACAACATTATCATCTGCTCATCAACATCCACTGATCCCAATCAGCATCATCATTATCTTCTGTCAGCAGCTTGATTCCCTCAAGTTTGTTTTTTTTTTTTATGTTTTTTAGCGAGTGGCGGCGGCTTCTTCGCCTTTTGTTGTAATGGCCCTCGAGTGTGGGCAACACAAACAAACACTCAAGAATCGCAAAATGCGATCTACGAACCGGAACTCCGCCAAAAACGTTCTTCTCTTAGCATTCTTCAAATCTAAAATCTTTTTAATGGAAAGACAGGCGCGTAGATCTGAGATTACACAGATCCATAAATAGGGTTTAAGTAACATAAAATAGCGTCTAATTTTAGACACTTGGAATTAGCAAAATTAATTCTGGGGAGTAAGTGGGGAATATATGATGAATAAAGGAATTTATGAGAAATAAATGAGAAATATTTAAGGAATAAATAAGAAATTTATGAGAAATAAATGAGGAATAAACGAATATATATATTAGGCTTAAATACCCAATTAACTTACATTAATATCTTCTTAAATAAATTATTAAAAAACGTGATAACTTTCTGGGTTCCAACCTATAAATATATATAATAATTACAACTTTGTAGGTATATTGCGAACCAATGAAAATAAAAAATAAATCACATAGTCTGAACCCCTCATCTTTTGCGCCCCTGTCCAGTTTTGCTATAATTAGTTTAGCCGCAACATTTTGACCAAGTGCCAAGTGGCATGTACTGCCCATATGCACTAGTCCGAAGCTCCACTGAAACCTCCATAAAAAAAAAAACCCTCTAAACCTCTAAAACCTCAACCTTTCCCTCAGCCAAAACCTCTTCCACACCCACAAAAGAGGCTGGGCCCTCTTCTTTTGCCTGATAAACTATTCCAACAAAAAAAATGTTTGCTGGTCGCCTCTGCTTTTGGCTAATTAAACAGGCGAACATAACAAACATAAAAAAAACAACAACAAAGAAAAAACCACAACAAAAAAAAAGACAAATCAAACTACAAAAAAACGCAACAAACTGAAACTAAGCGAAGCAAAAAAAAAAAAAATGAAAAAGAAGTTGAACAGAAAACAATTAAAGCCAAGCGTCCGATGGGTCGGGGGTCTCTATAAAACCGAAACGCTCTAGCGGATTTGCCAGCAGTTGCCGTTCGAACGTTCCCCAGAGAATCAAAAGAATCGCCAAGATCTACATATATTTTTTTTTCAAGTGCTTCAAGTGTAAAGTTCTGTGAAACAATGTCACGTGTATTGCTAAGCGCTGTGGTCCTGCTACTGGGCCTCACCACGGACATCCTGGCCGGACGTCTGAGCCAACGTTACTTGCCCGCTCCGCAGGCTAGCCAGTTGCACTATCACGGCGTGAGTGGCCAGGGACATGCTCGTCCTGGTCTGGGCTTGGGATCGGCAGCAGGATATCAGCGTCAGCAGCAGCCGCAGATACCGATTGTGAGGAGCGACTATCAGAGTGATGCCAATGGCAACTATAACTTTGGCTTCGATACCGGGAATGGCATCCACCGGGATGAGACTGGCGAATTCCGTGGCGGCTGGCCCCATGGCTCCCTGGGTGTCCGCGGCTCCTATTCCTATACCGGTGACGATGGCCAACAGTACACGGTGAACTACAAGGCGGACAAGAACGGATTCCATGCCGAGGGAGCCCACCTACCCACATCGCCATCGGTGCCGGCCGCAGCTCCAGCTGGGTAGGATTCTTATATGCCATAAATACTACATAAATATTTATATTTATATTTATATATCACTTTATCCCCATCAGTCGCAGCTCGTATGGCGGCTATAGGGGATCGGCCTCATCGCATGTCCCTGCTGCTGCTCCCAACAGCCGATATCTGCCGCCAGGATATCGCCAGCGCAGGCACTACTGAAGGACAAAACCCTCTTCAATTGTTATGTAAAACAAATCTCAATAAAACAAATCTATAGCAAGGGTTTTAACTTCAAATAAAGTAAATAAAACACACAATTCGTTGCCTTTGAATTAATAAATTTAATGAAATTCTAGCTATTTATATCTTACTTTATATATGGAAAATCTTGAAACCGAAAACCTCAACCGCCTTGGTAGCTAATTTAAGTGAACAACTTCTGGGTTTGGCAACAAGAACACTTGGCCACGCCTCTTTGCTGTTAGCCTTTTTTTTTTTTTTTGTGGACTTTGACTTTTGGCCAAAAGCCGAAATAAGTTGTTACCAATGTAAATACAGACGGCCAACGGTAAGGGGAAAATTAATATGCAGTTAAGCAGTTAAAGTCTGCAATCAAAACAAGCCAACTTATCCTTTTTTCCTTCCTTTCTTTTCTTAACAAGAAAAGTAACAACTTTTTGGCCATTGTCGCCGGGCATTAATCATAAGTAAAGCAGCCAGCTAACTTGGCCCTGAGTTTGCGAGGCTTAATATTAAAGAAAAGATGAGAAAAAAAAACTGAATAATGCCTTTTAAATATATTTTTTTTTTTCTACTTGATAATGTTTTTAAAAATTTGTTTTTAAATCATTTTTAACCAAAAATATAAATAAAAACCATAAAATAAATTATCAAGTGCTCAAGCCTTTTCAATTGTATATGCCACCGCATTTACCTAAAACTTTTCCACATTTTCCTCCCTTCTTCTCGCCTTGTCTCTGAACTTTTCTCTTCTTTTTATCACTTTCTTTTCTTTCTTTTTTTTTTCCCCCTATTTTTGGGTTTTGTTTTCGTTGATTTCTCCCCAGTCGCTTAGCATTCGCATTCCGCTTTAGCATTAATTAAAATTACACAGAATCGCTTGGGGCGTTTTCGGGGGATTCCCAGGATGCGCAGGCGGGTGGGCGGGCTGGTTCTGTCGGAGGATGTTCTCGTAAATTAAAGGCGCTTATGAATTTTATAAATTATTTTCCATGTTGGCAAGATGAACAATTGCTGTGGCGGAGCATCCTTTTTAGGATGCACACAACAGGGGCGCAGCAAAGGAAAAAGGGGTGAAGCACTGAACCAAAAAAACGTCTTTAGAAAACATTTATAAATAATTATTCTTTTAATTTTAGTTCATTTTTTAAGCATTTCTAAAGCAGAAATTAAGCCAAAGAGACCTATTATTTAAATAAAAACACTTTCCATATATATATATTTTTTCAGTGCAAAAGCACGGCCATTATGAGCAGACATCGCCGTGTTGGCAGCGCCTGAAAGTAGGCAGCGCTTATTGAATTTCATTAACATGTGCAATCATTTGCATGCATGTCTGTGCATGTTTAACTACAGGTCCATCCTCCTGCCAGTCTTCTCTCTTCCTCCTGCACCCACACCCACCAATGAACTCACTTAATTTTATGCCAAAACAATGACACGCCATAAATTTAAACGGATTTGGCATTGCGCCGCGAGCAAGTTAAAAAAAAAGCAAGCTAAAAGCGAAGCATGAAGCAACTTCAGAGCAGCAACCCTTAGTTCTCAAGGTGCAGGGTGTTTTATGTGGGAGGTAGGGAGAGATGGGGCTTGGGGGATGGATGATGTGCGGGGTACTGACACCTTCCAAGGGGTACTGACACGCTTTCGAACCGTGTTTTAAATGCTAAAGAATATGCTAAAATCGCACAAAGAGCGGGTGTCCTTTCGTCTACAGGTGCAAAAAGGTGTTACTACAAAAAATGTAATGGCAACCAGTATCTTTGTTGGTTTACAAAATTTATAAATATTCTAAATTGAATTCTACTCTTTAAAATGTATATTCCAGATTAGATTTAATTACCACAAAAAGGAAGCGCCTAGAAATAGGAAATGTGTTTTGCAAACTAAGCTTTTGGCTTTTTTTTTAATGGTCTTTAAATTAATCTAATTTTAACTTTAATCTAATATTCATTCACTCTTCAAATTATTTTGTTATTTTAAATTATTTAGTTTTGAGTTAAACTTTAAAGTAAGGTATTAGTATACATTAAATATCAGGAATGCTGGTACACTTTATTTTTAAGCTTTAAATTAAAGCTGCTAGTGGCTGAAACTATAAATAAATTCATGGAATTGCGTGCGATTTTGCAAAGAGAGAAATAATGAAGAAAAAGGAAAATAAAAACAAGAAAGGAAACTAACTTCCGCACGCCGAAGTTTGTATACCCTTGCATTTTTGCAATTGGATTACAAATAACCGATTCCCCCCAATTCAAATAGGAACTCAGCCACAATTAAAAAAGCAAATAAATCGGATATTAGAAAATGGGACAAATTAGGACAATTAACTTGTAATTTGGTGTTCTTTGCTGTAATTTCCTGGCTGTAAACTGTAAATAAATTCTACAGAAAAAATTGACTCAAATCTAAATTAAAAACCTTAAATAATTAATTTATACAATTTTATGAAAGCTTTGACTCCTTCACTGCGTTGCAAACTTCTGACTGAAATTATAATACCCTGCAAGGGTATAAAAAAGCGAAACTGCGAAAAGCGTTTGTGTCAGTCAATTTCAATGTTAATCCACCTGTGCTGCCACCGTGTGTGTGTGCGAATATTGATATGGCAGTTGCACGCACAACTCTCAGGAGTTAACCCCCACCCCACACACATACACACACACACACAAAACAGTTACAGTTACATTATTTAGCCTTAGCCAGGACTTTTCCACAAGTCCTTGGGTGAGTCATCTTCATTGGCAATGCGAGAACGCTGTTGCCCCGTCGCCCCAGCGGACATCATTTTCATTAAAATTTTAATAGTCCTATGTGTGTGCGTGTGAGTGTGACAGGACCAAGTGGCACGTAATATTATAAATTTAAGAAGTTATGGTTTAAGCTAGAGTGCCTCAGCTTTCAACAAGAACGGAAACAGCTGGGAAATGTGTGAAAATCTAAGGGATTATTAAATAAATAAAAGATAAACTCTTGAAATTTTAAGAATTTATATATATATTAAAATTATAATTCTTCAATTTACTTGTAAAAACTAATTAAAATAACTTGAAAGAATCCTTGTTGTCGATTTGTAAAACTCAATAACCAGATAAACAAAAATTGAGGAAATTCAATTAGTTTAGTTTGCGATAAGGAAACTATAAATCTCGTCCTTGTTATCTCTCTCCACTCCCCCTTTTCCAATTCGTTTCGAAATGAAATAAATCGAAGCGAAATGAAAAACAAGAAATTCCAATAAACTAATTTACACAAAAGCGCAGAGGAAACTTTTGGCAGACAGTTGACGTGCGAGACCTTATGGACCAAAGGACCAAAAAGGAGCTCCTCTACCAAGCTCCCCTCGAACTTTACGAAAGTATTTGCGTATGAATTTTAAGCAGCTGGAACTAATGCCAAGCCAATAAAAGGGATAAAATTGAAAAGCAGCCACCGCGCACGCAATTCCGAGCATATATATGTACATATATGCCACGTATATCCTTCGCATATCCCTATATACCCTAGTAGCAGTATATATCATTTGCATATGTGTATGTATGTATATATGTGCGCGTATTGGCCACTGAGGGGACGTGTTAACGTTGGTATTCCCTAACCCTCAACTCGGCGTAATTGTAACTCTAACACCACATCGCATTTGCGCTTTTGCTTTTCGCAAAAGCATCTTGTTGCGTATTTGGTATAATAAATTAGCATCGCGTTTCGCATTATTGACTGGATTTTGAATAATAACACACAAAGGACCCTTTCGACCCGAGGATAAAGAAGGTGCCGGTGCCCGGCGTCAGTATCCCCAGTATCCACGGGATCCACATGTAACTGTAGACTGGCGACAAATGGAGAATTCCCCCAGAAGCAGTAAAGAAATAAAAAAAAGTGAACAGTACTAGGCACTGAAAGAAATCAGTTTTAACAAAGAATGTAATGGTAAAAAAATATAAATTAATCATTTTCTTCCTATAAAATGTCTGCTTTTGGAATATATGAAATTAATAAATATATAATTGGTTCAAGTATTTTAATTCCATTTTCCAAAAATCATAAATATTTAAAAATCTCCCTTGATTATATTTGTAATACATAAAATCGATTGATTAAAATTTATTATATTTGTAGTAAAATAAAAAAAGGCTTCTAAAAAAAACAGTATTTGTTTTTCGCTTAAATCGGTTGAGAATTATAAGCAAAACAAACAAGTTTAATGAATTATAATTTCCAACTAGTAATTCATAAGGGAAAATTTATTCTTTTAACTTTAAAAAAAAATACCTTAAATTTTGTTGAGCACTGTAAAACCTATAAATGTAAGAAATCTTTTCGAAACTCCAGAGTTTTCTTCTTTTCAACAGTGTTACCAGGTATTTTTTCTCAGTGCCACAGCACAAAGGCAGTGCCATGTAATACATTCCAAAAGCTGCAACGTAGAAAAGGATGGTGGGAGGTGGCTATATGTGAGTGGGGGGAGAACATCCTGCTGGTGTTTTTGGGGCGTTCCTGCCACACAACTCAGCACAATTGCGCACATAAATTTAGTGCGCCAAATAATGCGGCGGGCGGAGTGGATAAGGCGATGGAGGGAGGGGCTGGAGCTGAAGCTCGAGATAGAGTTGGAGCTGGAGCTAAAATGTGTAGTATAGAATGGCCCATGAGACCGCGGATTTTTCTTAGGATTAATGATATAACTAAAGGTAAGGGAACCTCAAGGAGAAACTGCATTGGAATAATTTTAACAAATCTTTAATTGATTTTTTCCAATATTTAACCTATTTTTTAGGAAAAAAAACGTAGGAATCTTATAAGATAAATTCAAATTTTTTCGACTTTTTAAAAGCTTGTTTTCCATAAGAAGTTGTAAATCCCTCCATACATATCCTTTTATAGTATCCTTTTTTTCCTGTCTCTTTTTTTGTTTTGTAATTTTTTTTGTGTAGTTTATGTCCTTCTCTCACGTGTGTGTGTGTCTGTGTCACATATTTTGCCTTCTTGTCCTTCTTCTGGCCAACTTTCTAACCTCCCAACATCCTTCCATCCTCCCAACATCCTTCGTTTTTTTCCCGCCCACCTTCTCAGTCTCTCAGTCGCAGTCTCATTCTCAGTCTCATTTGAATGTATTACAACAAGTTGGAAAAGTTTTGCAGCTGAAATGCTGGCGACATGAATTATTTAGAGCCCCAACTGGGTTGAGGGTGCAACCAGTTACCACTTCCCATTCCCTCCCATGTGTTTTTGATTAAATTTTGTAGCATGGTATTCTCGCGAAAAAATATGAGTACAAGAGCAGAAGGAGCAGCAGGAGTTAGTTTTTAAGTAGGCATCGGAAATTAAGTCGTTTTATTGAGCGACTAAAACCTCTTCGTGCCAACTATAACCTTTTTCTGTGGGAAGGGATCTGAGTTACCACTTAGGGTCTCTCTCTCTCTCTCTCGCCAGTCAGTGAGCAAGTGAGCCTTCACTTTTCTGCAGATTGCTGACTGACAAGGCAATTCCACGTTATTGCCAACAATAATTCACACGCAACAAATGGGGGTTGGGGCCACGAAGGAGAAGAAGAAGAAGTAAGAGAAGGAGGAGGCTGGCATTCCACCCCCCAAAAGATGCCCTGGCAGTCAACAATTGTTGCATGAATAAAGCGATGAAGAACCCAAGGACCGAGGACATTGGGGCTAATGATTGCCAGCTCGCGCACACACACACAGATCACTGAGCACGGTAATGCTCAAAATTGTGCCATCAAAAATAATGCGTAGGCGGGTAATTTCTCTTTCCAAAACATTCAGATCCTTGCTGGCCCCAGAGATAAGGCATTAGATGATGGAAATTATTTGGGACAATGGCAGCCTGTCGACGGGCCCATTGTATGTGGTTCTAGCTCTTCTCTGCCCATCAAGAAACTGGAGATGGGTGAGAGAGAGAGTACTTGGGGAGGCCAAAAGGTGAACACTGACAAATGAAGGTTTCTCAAATGAGGCAGAAATTGAACTGACGCACGGACCGGTTGGGAATTATAAGCAAAACAAATGGTTCTAAAGTGCACAAAGATGATATTTCAAGAGCTTAACAATAATAGACTAATTTGTATAATACATTTTAAAGAAATTAGGAAGGAGAATTAAAGAGAAATTATTGAATAGGTAACCTTAACCTGAAATGAGGCAGAAATGGTTGACCTAATAAAAAAAAACCTATGCACGTACCACTTGAGGATTATAGACATAAAAAATAATCAATAAATTCATTTTAAGTATGAAATTCACCAGTATTTTTACTTTATTTCCATTACCTAATATTTCAACTTACATAAACCTCAGAGATTTTCTGAGAACCTTTCAACCCAATATATTTTTCCCCAATTTAAGATTTGAGGGATTTCCCTCCCCCGTTATTAGCTTTCAAATGGGCCAAACTCCATTGACCGACCACTTAAATTTGATGTAAACTGATTTTACAGTCAATCTAATTTGAATAAAGTTCAATCAAAGTCGAATTTAATTCCCCAATCTTGCCTCGGCCTTCTTCCTGGATAAGGTGTGTGCCCCGATTATGGAAACAATTTCAAAGTTTTTATTTAGCCGAAAGGCGGGGCTGAACTACTTAAGCTGCCAAGAAAATTTTCCAATGTCATTTGTTTCGGGCTACACTTTTCCGAGGGGGGGAATGCCCGTTATTTTCTTTCTTTTTTTTTTTGCATTATTTTTTTTGCGGAAAATCAAATTGACAAAGACATCCACAAGTGGTTGGGTCGAGGGACTGCAACTCCTCCACCTGATTAGTGAGAGTGCCGCTGTGCCACACACATACACCTGATAGATCCATCAAAATCCGTAAGAATCCGCCAGATTGGTTTGGGGAATCGGGAAATGGAAAGGGGGAAAATCAGCAGAGGCTTTACTTCTTCTGGTGCTTATTTATTTATCGAGAGAACTGCGGCAGGTGGGCTGGGATTTCGGTTTCGCCTGAGGGCTCTCCTCTCTCAATGTCTCACTGTCCACGCAGCTTATCGGTTCGGACAGCTGACAGTTGGCCAGGGCGAGGAGCTTCTAGGATGTATAGGATATATAGATATGGTTGGACGACGACGACGATGATGATGAGGCGGCGAGACAGTGCGCGATTTGAAGTGCTCTTCGCCGCAACAACCGCAACGTACTTAGACAGCATTTTGCCGGCTGATAAATGGCCGCCTGTCACTTGGAACCCTCATTCCCTCCTGGAGTACTAAGCCCACCGCACATCCATTCATTCCCAGGAAAACCCCTTCTTTTTTTGAAGTCGCCCCAAGGCGTGCTATAAAAATAAAATAAATAAAATAAAATAAAACTTGTAGCTAGAGTTTACCCCAAACGAGAAGTTGCATTAGCAGCGACGCCGCCCGAGGTTGAGGTGGGAGTTGGGGCTGAAATCCTTAAGTTTTAAGGGTATACATTTTATCATACTTAACAAAATCTAAGCAAATACTTTTAAAGGATATTTCTATGCTTAAAACTGCAAAATAAATTCCTTAAAAATCTACAATAAAAACTATATACAAATAAAGAGCAACCTGCAACCCTTAGATAATCAATTTTTGGTTAAAGTTATTTCCCTAATTTAGTGTCCACCTGACATCTAATTTTTATTTTTTCGGGTAGCCTTATTAGGCCCTGTCTTTAATTGCGTTTAAATATTAATTAAGCTTGGCCCGAAGGCGCCTGCCTGGCCACTTGCTGGCTGCATCCTCCGTTTGCCGCCAGGTTCAATTTCAATTTAACTTTGTTATCGAGGAGGCGCTGCGTCGCCCCAAGGGTGGCCCAGGACTCGACGTTTTCGGCTGCCAAATCAAATTCGACGCCCAATTAAAATTCAATTTGTTGCGCGCCATTAATTAGATTCCCCCGCAGCCTGCCCCTTCAGGCCAAAGGAGAATAGAAACTTTCTTTGCCACCTGAGACCTTCCATATCCATTAGTATTCCACACTTGCCCGACCATCTATCTATGCAATTTCCCCCCAACTTTTCTTGATGATGGTTGGTTTTCCTTCCCCCCAATAGCTGCAGTCGCACTAATTAGTGTGGCCAACGCGGCAACTGATCCTGCTTTGGCAAAGTATAATCTATGCAACATGTGGTGACCCTGGCAAAAAACGTTCCAAAAAAATATATAAAATCTTCAAAGAGCTAATTAATAATTGGAAATTCTAAGCGGAAATACTGTTCAAGAGGTTATCCTAAAATAATAATAATTTATTAAAGATATAAAATTTAATAATTATCGATTTGGATAAATTTAACATAGTATTAATATTTTGGAAATCTTTTGGCAAAATTTATTTTTTTATTTTTGAAAATTGATGCTGTCTTAATAAATATTAAAGATATTGAAAAAATTAAGAAGAAGAGCTTTTTAAATAATATTTGCTTATACCTATCAAGTATTTTCATTACTGTATAATAATTTTAAAATAAACTGAGAAAAAGTATATATAATGCATTTGATAATATTTTATACATTTTTTGAGCTCAGACTATTTAAAATATTATTTAAACTTAATGAATACCTGAGAATTATAACCAAATATCATTTTGAACAGTTATTTTTCGAGTGTATGACTCTGAGAATAAATGAGAACGACTCACCTGCTTCTGCAACGTGTTGGACAGCTCCTCGAGGCACTCCTTCCGCTCAAAACGCTCGAACTTGAAGCTGTTGGAGCGGTACAGCTCATTGTCCTCCCGCCGGCGGTTTCGACACAGGCGACGCGTAATTATATTGCCCCCACTGCCGCTCAGTCGAGGTCTGAAAATTATCATTAATATTATTATTAATATATATATATAAGTCTTACTCAAGTCTTGGCCAAGACAAACTGAAACGGTTTCTCCAAAATCCTCCCATGACTTTATAAACCAAAAAAAAAAATATATATATATATATGTATATAGAGTAGTGACACTAATGGTGGCGGAGGAGAAGCTCGTTAGCTGCTGGGGCGCTTCATTAAAATTTTCACACATTCGGCGGTAAAGAAAACTCTGCTCCATTTACCTTATTATGATGTCGGAGGTCTAGCGTTGGCTTAAAGCCTCCCAATATTATGGAATGGTACGGAAAAGGGGTAACGGGAAATGGGGGGAAATCGGGAGGGAATGGAACGACGACCCACTTTGCATTCTGGGTTCGTTCAACGCCCGCGGCCACTTGAATGGCTCAAAAACTCAGTTGCAACCCGGCCCAAACTTAACCAAAGCCACAACAACACAACCAAATGGAAAACTTTCAGGGGGCGGTTGGCAAAATGGTGGAAAAATGTGGGCCAGGAGGAGCATACGGAGGGAAAGTGAAGAGGGAACAAGCAGCAACAAGCAAAAAAAAAAAAAGAAGAAATTGGAGGCAAACCAGGGAAAACTCTGCGGCAAACAAAAGCACAAGCCACTGGAGCAGACTCAAGTGGTAGCCACTTGGGCACTCCAACTCACTGGAGCTCCCCAGTTGCAGCAGCAACTCCAGTTAAAGGCTACACTCGACGAAATCAGAAGTCCGAAAAAAAAACAAAAACAAAAAGAATGATGCACTTCTTCGATTTAAAGGCATTTTTTCAAGATATAATAAATGTTAAACCCTAGATTTAAATTCCAGTTTTTAGATTTGCCTCAAGTTTTTTCTGTCAGTGTATCTGCTAATGCCACTCACCCGCAGGGCTTGCAGTGCGTCATGTGCAGATCCCAGTTCAAATGAAAGTTGAACATTCGCAACTTGGCCACCGCCCGCTGTCGCAGCGAGATGTCCGGTTGTACTCCAGATCCGGTTCCAGCTCCTCCTACGCCTCCGGTTCCGCCTCCTCCTCCTCCTGCCCCTGAGGTAGATGCTGCCTGACCGGCACCAGATCCTCCAGTGGCTGCCAGGAGAGTCGCTCGCTGGGAATTCGGGTACATCATCACAGTGCCGCTGGGCGCCGAGGTGGCAAACAGACGCCTCGATGAGCCACCGCCTCCGCCGACCATGCCACCGCCATGATGGTGACTGGGTCGGTAGTGGTGCTGGTGGTGGTCCTTTAGTGTATAGAAGCCACCGGAGGAGCTGGCAAAGGAAAGTGAAGTCAAGATTTAGCCTAGGAATATCCACATCAAAATTGATATATAATATTACTTACGACATATTATCACCGCCTGGATCGCCAACGCAACTGGTAACTGCTCCTATACCGCCGCCGCGACGCGGTCTACTCTTCCGCCGGCGACGCCTTCGCCGCTCCGAGGATGCGGTGCGCGTTTGAAGAACATGCTGGCTTAGGGACTTGTGGCAACTGCCGCCTCCTCCGCTGCTGGCTAGGCGTCTGCCGGTGGCATTGCAGCCACCGGTGGCAGTGATGGCTCCTCCTCCTCTTCCTTCTCCTCCGCCGGGTGGCAATCCCTGAACTGCAACCACCAGCTGACCGTCCCCAAAGCCACCCGCCGAACTGATGGTATCGGTAGACTGTGGCGTGGCTGCCGTGCCACCAACGTTGGACCCTTCGCCACCTGGCTGCTGCTGGAGCAGGGGCTGTGGTTGCTGGGACTTGTTGGTGTTGCGCAGACTGTGGTTTACCTTTCGCCACATGCGTTCCATTTTAAAGAATTCCTTTCTCTTGGTTGGTGATTTGTTGGTGAAAGGTTTTGTTTGTTAAAGACGATTGTGCATCTTCAAACGAACTGCCGCCATTACTTTTATGGATTGATTTTGGTCCATAAATTAATCCTTAGGTTCTTTGAAATGCTTAGTCCGTGACGTCGGTGTGTTGTTGGTGTATTTTGGGGCGAGTTGTAGTGGCTTTTGACAGGAAATATTTTCATTTCACTTTTCCCAATTGGTGGCAATCAATAAGTAGTAACCAAAGATCATGATGCATTTCTTAGAGATTTTTTATGAATAATTTATTTAATAAATTATTTGTTTCCGCTTGCGAACTTGTCGTTGATAATTTTGAAATGTGATTAAGAATTTAATATTTGCCAGATTGTTTTTGTAGAGTTTCGTTCATCATTGTTATGTTTTAATTATCATTATGAATACTTATAGGGTTATAGTTATACGATAATAAGAACTTTTTTCGTTAACTTTGTTTGCTCGTATTATTTAAAATGATCTAAGACATACCTTGACTTTATGTACTGAATAACATATTAAGTTAAATCTGTGTTTTATATTTATTTTGCAATGAGTTTAAAGTTTTTAGTGCGAGTTTTTGTATTTAAATAGATGAATAACATTAGTAAACGTTCTAATTAACTTATAGTTTCAGTAAAGTTAATGTGTTATTATTTATGATCCTTTTACTTTGGTTAACAGGAGAAAGGGAAGTTTTTCAGTTATAGCAGTTTGCTCGGAAGTTTTCAGTTATCGTTTCGTTGTTGTAGATTTGGTAGTCGTTGTTAGTGCTCCATTATACAGTTTAGTTGGTATATTTATTGTTGTTAGTTGGTTGAGTTTGTGTATTTGTGCAGTTTTGTAGTTCAAGTTATCGCTTTTTTTTTTTTTTTTTTGCTTATTGTTGATTTTTCCTAGTCAATTTCAACTAGCTACGAGGGTTGGGTTCTTTTCTATTTCTTTTGCTGCTGCGACTGCTTGTTCTACACACTTTCCTTGCTCTTCCTCTTCCGGTCTCAGTTGTCCTTCGTCATCTTCTTTGCAAGTCCTCTTTGCATTGTCTTTGGCGGTTGTTGTTGTTGCTATCTTATTGTTTGTAGGCGGCAGTGTTTAGTTGTTGTTGTTGTTTCATCTCCTTTACCTTGGATAACTCACACACACACACACACACACACACACAGACACATTCATTCGATTATACAAAAAGCTACTCAGCAGGAACTATGCATTGTTGTTGTTATTATTATTTCGATATTGTTGCTTTAGTTGTTGTTGTTATTGTTGTCTGTGGATACCGGAAGTGGAAGAAAACAAAGAAAATGAATTGAGTGTGACTGCTTTTATGTGTTGGTGTTTGTGTATTCGCGTGTGCTTGTGCGAGTGGTCTTGCACTTTTAGGTTAAGCACGCGCTTCACTCATTTTTTGCATTTTTCTTTCTTATTTTGTTTTTGTTGTTGTTGTTGCATCCTAAGCCGCTCTATTTTCTGGCCATTGTTGTTGTTGTTATTGTTCACATTGCACTTGTGAATGAATTGCGAATATTTCGATTCTCTCGCTCTCTCCCTGCCTCTCTCTAGCTCACACTCTCTTTGAGGTTTATCGTTATTTCTTTTTTCGTTTCCTCTCACTTTAAGAGTTTTTTCACAGCACTTTCTTGTTCCTCCTCTAGGTTAAATTTCTGCGCACAATATGTGTAATTTTGCGTTAGTTATTTGCCAAGCAGTACGGAAAATGCACTTAAATTAAAAAGTCCAATGAAATTGGCTAACAACTACAACGCAGTTATTGTCCCGTTGTTAGGTTGTTGCTGCTTTTGTTGTGATTGCTGCTGCCTGCTGCTGCTGGCGTTGTTGCTTTTACCGTCAGCGCCTGGCTGGCTGCTGCTAGCACGTTGAGTCAACATAATTTCAGTTCACCCAAAAAAAAAGTAGCCAAAAAATCTCAAAAACAGGAACTTCATCTCTCTGGACAGTGGGACACAAGTGGTATTTTTTATCTCTTTGAGTTGATTGTCTCCGAGGGCTATTTATTTATAACAATCATGATTTTGCAATTTCATATAATATGATTTATTGTTAAAGCTTAATATGAAATGAAATATAAAGAATTTTAATTATACAATCATTTTATTTTTAAATATAGATATTTTTTTATTATTATTATTAAATAAATTTCTAAACAAAAAAAAACCCACTGTGGCCCACTGTGCAACTAAAAGGAACCAACGCGAGAGCGGAAGAGCGCGACCGCGAGAGAGAATGCTCTCCCAATGAGGATGTGTTTGTGCGTGGGCGCAAGCCAACCCTTCAGTTCCAGAATTCCTGGCCCGTCCGATTCCTCGCGGTATGTTCGAAAAACAAAAACAAATTACATGGGCCTCGTTCAGCGAAGTTCGAAACAAAATAGCCGAAACAAATTCTACCTACGCTCGGCTACTGCCGAGGGCTTTACGAAGTTCGATCCTCATATTTGTTATTGTTTTCGATCTCTGTTCGAAGCGGCGGTTGCGAGAGTTCGTAAATTAGAGAGAGATGGAGATGGAAGGAAGGGAGGAAAGAAAATTGGTGTAAAAAACAAAGAGTATTGCACCGACGGCAGAATGACCTTTTTAAAATAAGTAGGATTATTTAAAAATATTAAAGATTATATTTAATTAATTTTTACGTATAAAATCATGTGGTATATAAGCACTTAAGAAAATGTGCTTTAGACTTGGCCGAAATGTTCACGTTTGATTATCAGCCCTTTGTGAATCTAATTACAAGGGATTGCCTTGTCGGCTATACCCTGACACGCGAGAATTTTCGGTCTTCGGTTTTGTCTTCTAATTCTCTTTGCATTTTGAGTTGACTGCTGTTGAATTCAGAAGTGTTTTGCGTATTAGTTGCATAAAAATTAAATATTATAAGGTAAGTGGAAGTTTTTGCATTCAATTAATCATTTAAATTGCAGAATTGACGTTAAAAATGGATGCAACTTAAGCCTAGACGGTGTGAATGGGATTTAGTACGGATTTACGAAGTTTTTTTGTCCAGTTTAAGTTGGTATGTATAAATTTGTGCAAAGTACTGCAATTTACGATTTGACTCGAAAATATGTATGTATTTAATTTACAGATAGAACAAGTTCCTTAAAGGACCCAGCAGCCGGCAGAGAAGGCTCCGTGACACGCAGTTAGATAAATACATATATGTATGTACATACATATGTTTAATTATGCAGAAATATGTAATGCTACCAGAAAAAGTGAACATTAATAAAAATTTACAATCCATAAATAAATAAGGAATAAATTACATCGGATTTTTACTAGGAAGGGGGGGATTTTTCAGGAATTTTCTATAGGTTTTCATCTGGGATTCCTGACGGATTCCGCTAGCGAATCCCGCGGGATTTCTCGACGATTCCCGCAGGTTTCCTTGACGATGCCCGCCAGCCATTCCCGCGGGATTCCTCGACGATTCCTGCAGGATTCGAGTTCGAAATTCCCGGGGACTGTCCCGGGGGATTGGTGCGGATTCCTGGCGGAATTTCGAGATCCTCGCCAGGAGTACCCTATGTATGAAAGTTCCTCGCCGCGTTGTATGGACGGTCCCGCGGGATTCCGCGGGAACCTATCCCGGTGCCCGGAGGAATCCTTCGGGAATCCGGGAGGAATGGAACTGAAGGGAAGTTACGGTATCCAGTCCCGTGCCCGTGTACGTATCTTTGCGGTCGTATTGGTAACCGTGTGTCCTGTGTATAACACAAAACCATTGCGCTGCAGAGGAATCCGGAGAGAGATATAAGGAGAGCGCGAGTGTCTGAGCCGGAGAGCGTAAGAGGAAGCTGCTTGGTTGTTTCGTACAATTTTTTGTTGCCTACATTTTGGGGCCATCACACAAGACACACGCAACACCAAACAGACATTTTTAAATACCGAATTAGAAATGAAACACACACTGCTGCTCAATTGGCTGACGGTCAATCGGAACCCAGAGGAATCCACATTTTTTCTATCACACGAGAGCAGAGACCGCTGCCCGTTTATTGGCAACGCGCACGCACAAATAACGGAGTCACTGTGGCGATGGCAGCGGCGAAAGCACCGCCGAAAGCAGCGACGCTGGCGCCGGCAGCAGCAGCTGAGAGCCGTTCGGGCAAAGGATGTCGGTTCACAGCCCGAACGCCAAATACAGGACCGAAGCTCCCTCGCTGGCTTGTGGTGTGTGTGTGTGAGGTCGTTAAAATGTAAACATTGAAGCTATCGGTTGCCGGGCTGAAACTCAGAAACAGCGAAAGACAGTCAGTGTGAGAGAAAAGCAGCAGCTGCGAATGCTCACTCGCAGGACTGCAAAGCGACCTCTACTGGCCGAAAGCTGAAGGATAGCGGCAACACATCCGTTATCGAAGAATCGCTTTCGAGACCAACCGCTTGATGACGCTTTGGTGGTACTGCGTTTATTTAGTTATTTATTTTCATTATATTCCAAAAGTTCTAAAAATAAAGATTGCTAGTTCGCCAATAAAGTTTTTTTAAGAGAATATTGCCATATGCAATTCTAAGTCTAGTCTAAATTCTTTCGGTAGAGGTTTAAAAAATTAAAAAAAAAAAAAAAATACTCATACGCAGTGTTGACTTTGCTTTCCTCGACCTGATTTTTCGGTCTGCACATCTCATCTTTAATTTGAAAAACCAAATTTCAGTGCAGTGAAAATAAAATATTCCACAATTTATGGCATTATTTATCGAAATTTTTGCGAAAAAACGTTATAATAATATAACGTATACGCAGTGTTGCCTTTGGAACAATTTTTGAAGTATGAATAAAATAAAGGTAATTGTATAAAAAGGGAAAGAGCTCAGAGTAGATGCCACTAAAATCATATATTTCGCCCAAATACATTTCAGTATTTTATACTTTTCCAATTTCCGCCCAGTAAATGAAACATCAGGAAAAAAACACTTTCAAATCTGTTTTCGATTTTTTGTATAGTAATTTTTAATTGTTTTGCCCGTCATCCACGACTTCGATCAATCGATTTATCAAACAAATCAATCGATCTGCCAGCTTCCGCTTCCGTTTTGGTTTTGCTTTCGTTCTTTATCGTTTTCGTGTTCTCTCCACTTCCACTTCCTCTAGTCGTTATGTGTATATATATATGTATATATATATAGTATAAAGTTGATACTCATGCTAAATCGAATCGACTTGGTTTGCTTCGTTCAAAAAATGTTAGGCTATGCAATACAATTACGTGATCGTTAGTTTACTTTAACATTTAGTTTTTAGACTGACATCAAACACACAAATATAGTTTATACGTTCTCTTTGCTTTTGTTTTCCGTTCTTTGTTTTCTTTTTAATATGTAATGTACTCGTACTTATATAGGGTTTGATGCATTATGCGATATCTGATCTGTATTATATTTAGATAGCACTACTGTTTTACACACACACGCACAAGGTTTACAAACGTTATTTATATTATATTTAGGTTTTAGTTTACTTTTTAGTTGTAAAGAAAATTTCGATTAGTTTCCTTCTTAAACTTAGATTGCTAAAACGTTGGTATTGGCCTATTGTATGATTTATTTTATGCATTTTTTTTCTCTTTCTCTTTGTTTTTGTTTTAATTTTTTTTCTTCTGCTTTCATTTTTCAATTGCGAACCCCATTTTTGTCAAAGTGAGATCGATTGTGGCTGTTGTCCAAAGTGTGGGACCAGCTGCTAAAGTTTCTTCCGGTCATTTGTTCCGATTTTCCAATTTTCAGGATTTTCATGCGCTTCCTCTGGTTGTTGCTCTTGCTAGGCTATATCACAAAATGTGTTTTTATTTTTTTGTTTTTTCTCCATTCATTTTGGTTTTTGTTTCAAAACCAATGGGGTGCTGAGGAAAATGATTAATATAAATGTACATGTGGCTTGAAAACACCTAAAGTTGTGCCTAAATGTTTGCTACAAATAAATGTATACTTCATTGCATACTTTTTGCCAGCAAAACTAAAGAAATAAGAGAATTTTGTTTACAAATGTATGTTTTTTGTTCTTTTTCACTTACTTTTGCATTATTATCGATAAATCATCGATAGTTTAGATTCCTCTTAAATTCCAATCGCACTCTTCACTCAGAAATAGAACAGTTTTGAAAACCAAACACAGAATAAATTGATCTACTAAGAGGGTAAACGATAATTTGAAAATAAAAAAATGAGATAATAATATGGAATTTTTGATAATTGTATTCAGTTTTTTTTTATCGTTAGGACATCTACAATTTATCGAATCGGGCCCGTAGCGCCCACAAGTAAATTGCCAAAGATGATATAATACTATGTATGATAATATTACGGTCTTCCGTCTTGCCCGTCCACCTCTTCTACATAATATGTATAAGTTGTATTTAATGCTTAATTCGCTTGCAATTACCATTCGTGTGTGGTTTGTTTATAAATATTTGCTTTCCTTCCGCATGGCTAGTAAAAATTAATGCATTTAAAAGTTTGTTCTCCCTTGGGAAACTGCAAAAAAAGGGGTTTATCCTTTGCTCTTACACAAAACCCCCCACAAAAAATATTGATAAAAGTTTTTCTGTTAGCGATCGCTCTTTTGCTTGCTTTAAAAGTTGTTCCTTTTCTTTTTAAAATTTCGACAGCAACTCCTGGTTGATCCTTTACCCCTTTGCTACTCGTCGTGTGTTTGCCCAATTTCTTGTTCAACATCAAATATATATATTTCTATATTATTAAATATATGTATATATTTATATTCCGATTATGTGGTATGCATACGTATGTACAATTCTTTAGCATAATAACTGTTTTCTCTCTCGCACTCGTTTCTTGCCGTTCGATTCATCGCAATCGTGTGTGTGTGTGGGTTTTGTGTTCTTTTAAATTAGTTAAAAATACAAAAAAAAAATATATAGGCATACATTTATATAAAATACAAGTAAAATATATAAAAAAAAAAAAAGTGAGGGAGGGGATAAAATAATGCGGGATTTGTAAAATAGGCAACATGTATAGAAATAAATTAATTAATTAGTACAAACTAAGCATAACTTATCGATTTAAGTCGCCCGCAAGCGAGCCTACATAACAGAATCTATAGTTATCGTATATTATATATATTTATAGGTTTTATGTAAAAAAAAAAGGATTTTTATATCTAATGCCAGAGCGCAAGTGCATTTTCCTCTTGTTGCTTGCTTTAATTTATTTACTTTGTGTATTTAATAAATGATTTCAAGTTTCGCACGCTCTCTCTTTCTCTCTCTTTTTGCTGCTTCGGTACGGTCCTTCTTTCTCTTCCTCGTCAATCCTTCTTTCTTCATTTTCTCACTTGGCTACGTATGCTTTTTTTTCGATTCTGTTTCACTTATATGGTGTGTTGTTGGACAATTTTCCCAACGCCGCCTACAAATATGCTACAAAAATGGGCATTCAACGTATTTTCGCTGTTCTGTTCTCATTTACGAAAATTGTTGATGTTTTTTGTTGTTCTTAGCTTTTTTTGAGTTTTTCTTTTTTTTTATCTCATTTTCATGAGTTTAGCGTGTAACAAATTGTATTTTTCTTTTCTTGTAAGTGATGTTCAGCGGTCTATTTGCTGCTTTTTCTTTTTTTTTTTTTTTTTTTTTTTTTTTTTGTTGCTTACGCCTACAAAATTGTTGTTTTGTTGTTGTTGTTGTTGTTGTTGTTGTTGTTGTTGTTGTTTGGTCGGTCGTCGTGGACAAAATGCAGAGCAAAAAGATGTCTCCGCCCGCCGATGATGCCGTGGCCACAATAAAAATCGGTTGCTTCTCCTTCCTTTTTGTGTTGTTTTTTTCTATCATCAAATCCATCCACAATCCCAATATGCCGATTACCCAACCAAGAGAGAGTTGAGATGCGCCGTGGATGGATGGGAGACCCAACAGCAGTACGCAGTTCCTAGTGTCCCACAGTTCCCAGGGCTTCATCCACTCAAAAGTGCTCCAAAGCTCTGCGCAGCTTCTTACAGTAAAATGGACATTAAGATTCGCGCTCCTTCTTCACCTTAACCTCCTCGCCCAGAATCGTGGTGATCTCGCCCTGCATGAAGGCCCACGGTATCGTTGAGTTGGCCAACGGACATCGGTCGCCACTGGGACAATACACCTCGTTGCCGAGACCCTGGAAAAATATGAGAATTATTGCAATGTCCAGTTGGATATATTGGATAGTGGAAAAACTTACATTTTGTCGCTTAATGCTCTCGCGGCTGCAGGGGAAACAGAACTTGTGGTGGTTCACCGAAGGGCACTGCACAAAGTGCGTATCCTCGAGCCGCTCCTGGCACAGGGTGCACTTGAGCGTGGCATTTTGGGCGGCTGCCGCCGCCGCTGCCGCTGCTGAATTGGATGCGGCACTGCTGCCTGGTGCTCCGCCAAGACTGCCGCCGCTGCCAGCTCCCGCTGATCCGCCAGTGGCCAGGGGTGTGCCACCGCCGCCCTGACTGCCACTGCTGCCTGGACCGGGATTAACGGATCCGCCGCTGCCATTGCTGCCGGATGGACCACTGCCGGCCGGACTACCATCGCCGGTCACTGTATTTTGCGCCATCGAACCGGGACCACCTACGGCACCATTTCCTCCTGCGCTTCCAGAGCCGGCATTGCCCGGTCCGCCGCCAACGCCACTGGAGCAGCTACTCAATTGTCCGCTGGCTCCGCCTGTCGGTCCGCCCAGTGATCCAGCGGCACCAGCTCCAGCGGCGCCGCCGCCTCCTCCTCCACCGCCGCCAAGACCGCCCGCCACCACCGCCTGGCCGGGATTCGAGCCGCCAACCTCGGAGCTGGTTACTGTGGTGCTGGACACATGACGGGATCCGGATGAGCGACGTCCCGACGAGGAGCCTGCAATGAATGCCAGTAAAAAATCCTTTGTTAGATTCCAATTAAGTTTTAAAATTATTTAAAAATGGGAACTAGTAAGTAAAACTAGAACTAGTTTGCCCACCACAACAATCATGTGCCCAGAGTAAAGTGCCACCAAAAATGAGGTGCAAAAAACTAACCCGAGCTGTTCGGCGAGTGTACACTACGCGGGGGCAGCGGTCCCGAGGGCGGGCTCGATCCATTGCGTCGACTGGCCGGGGACATGTGCTCTGGAATGTACAGATGGAGTGGAGTCGGATTAGGGAAGGTCATTCGGAAGGATTATGTTTGATATGGGTCTTTCAAGGGGCTGGTCTACGAGCGTACTAGTATTGGGTAAAGTGAACCAATAGAAAAGTGAGAAGATAAACAATTAGCAAGTAAAAACAATTAGCCAAAAAAGAAAGAGAAAAAGGAAAAAGATGAACAAGTTAAGAAAAGAACAATTGGAACTGCTTCATGTTTTAGTGAACAAATGAATTTATTAAATAATCTAGCAAAGAAATAAACAATTTTTTGTTGTTCATTCACTAATCACCAAATCCAACTCAATAAAAGTAAAAGAAAATCCAAGTCAACAAATGAACTAGTGAGCAACTAAAGAAATTCCCGCTTTACCGGTAAAAAGAGAAATCAATGAACAACGCTTGAATTGGTGAACAAATGAAGACAATCTTCTTGTTCATTCCCTGATGACAAGCCCAATACTAGTCCGTAATCTCGTGAGTCAAGTGCAATGTACAGTGGGCCTTGGCCCCAAATAAGTATGCCCACACCCACCAACGATTGCCTATACAGTCAAGGTCGACATATCGACACCACCAGACGATCAATTTTAAATGAAAACTTAAAAAGGAATCAAAAATAGCCACACAACTCGTAAAGTATTATTCTTGATCAAACCCTTAGAATTATTATTATTTATTTTTACACATATATTTTTTTGGGCGAACTTTTATTTTGATGCCACCACTGTACATCGTTCATTTGTAAATATTTTGCTAAATCGAGTAAAGAAGCAGAACCGCTTTCATTCAACGAGATTCTGCTTTCGATTTTTCATGCAAATGAAAGAAGAGAAAAAAATTGAATCAAATTCGTTGCACATGTTTTTATTTTTTTTAATTTGTTATTGTTGTTTTTCGTCAGAGTAATTTTAGAACTTGGCACGAAACATGTTTCTAGATTTTGGTGTGTGCGTGCATATAGGCTAACAGTCATGGCACTAATAATAGCATATTATTAATGCATTTAATTTGTAGGGAATATTAAGAAAATTGTAATATATTTTCTAATAATAATTGTTACATAAAATGTATAAAATATTTTGAAATTATTTCATTATTACTTTTCACCTTTTTGGTGCAATTTAATAAGAAGAAACTGCTATTATTTTTTCCACCCCAGCTGTATATATTTCAGTATGTACAGCTGCGGCAAAAAAAATAGCACTATGGCATATATTTTTCTTCATTGATTATTTGTTTTATAACTATTCATATATTTAACTTGTTTAAGGCTTTTATTTTTACTTTAGGCTCTAATTTATCGAAATACACTGCAAGTGTCGCCGATAATAACATGAAATTGAAATATTTACATTATGAATGTGAACGTTGAACATTTTAGGCGGCAACAAAAATAGCACTATTTCAAAAATAACTTAAGAAAACGAAAAAAAACGAAAAAAATACGGGAAGTTCTGGAATATTTGTATTCATTTGTATTCCTTATCGATATAGTGTATTAATATTTCGTTGTAAAAGCTTTGGCAGCAATGACAGCAGCACAACGTCTCGGCATAGAATTGACCAAGTTTTGACACCTTTCCCGTGGAATACTGCTCCATGATTCTTGAATGGTGGCCCAGAGCTCCTGATTAATCCTTGGTTTTGCATTGGAAACATATTTTTTTACATCAGACCAAAGATTCTCTATCGGGTTTAAGTCTGGAGACTGAGCAGGCCAATCCATTAGGTGAAGGGATCTGTCTTGAAACCACTTAGGAGCTTTCTTGCTGGTATGTTTAGGGTCGTTATCCTGTTGGAAGACCCACAACAACGGTATTTCGTATTCTGCATAAGACAGCATCACTGTTAGCAAAATATCGCAATAGACATGTTGATCCATAATACCTTTTATCCAATGTATTGGACCCACTCCGTAATAAGAAAAGCATGCCCAAACCATGATACTCGTTCCACCGTGTTTTATGGTCTTGCAGGTGAAACTTGGGCGGTATTCCGAATTGGGGGGTCGCCGTACATAGGATCGAGATCCTCTTCCTCCAAATAGCACGATTTTGCTTTCATCCGACCATAGGATGTTTGGGCATGCTTTTCTTATTACGGAGTGGGTCCAATACATTGGATAAAAGGTATTATGGATCAACATGTCTATTGCGATATTTTGCTAACAGTGATGCTGTCTTATGCAGAATACGAAATACCGTTGTTGTGGGTCTTCCAACAGGATAACGACCCTAAACATACCAGCAAGAAAGCTCCTAAGTGGTTTCAAGACAGATCCCTTCACCTAATGGATTGGCCTGCTCAGTCTCCAGACTTAAACCCGATAGAGAATCTTTGGTCTGATGTAAAAAAATATGTTTCCAATGCAAAACCAAGGATTAATCAGGAGCTCTGGGCCACCATTCAAGAATCATGGAGCAGTATTCCACGGGAAAGGTGTCAAAACTTGGTCAATTCTATGCCGAGACGTTGTGCTGCTGTCATTGCTGCCAAAGCTTTTACAACGAAATATTAATACACTATATCGATAAGGAATACAAATGAATACAAATATTCCAGAACTTCCCGTATTTTTTTTCGTTTTTTTCGTTTTCTTAAGTTATTTTTGAAATAGTGCTATTTTTGTTGCCGCCTAAAATGTTCAACGTTCACATTCATAATGTAAATATTTCAATTTCATGTTATTATCGGCGACACTTGCAGTGTATTTCGATAAATTAGAGCCTAAAGTAAAAATAAAAGCCTTAAACAAGTTAAATATATGAATAGTTATAAAACAATTAATCAATAATGAAAAATATATGTCATGGTGCTATTTTTTTTGCCGCAACTGTACATTTATGTACATATATACTTGTCAGCAGCAACAAAAACAACAAGTTTCATTCACCAGCCGCCGGCTAGCCATAAAATGTGACGTCACAAGCCGCGGCACGATTGCGTGTCATTCTTGTTCTTATTTCACTGTTTCGGCCCCAGTTCTTCTTCTTGTTCGTTGGCTTGGCCCAAACGTCAACGAAACGAAATGGAATCGATACAAAGCGAAATGAAACAAAACGAAATTCTGCTGCTGCGCATACGTCACCGTCATAAGAGCGAGAGAGGGCGAAGTAGCTGCAGCCGGTTCGGGTTTTCCCTCTCATTCGCTCACTCGTTTTGTTATTTTTTTGCATGCCTGGCATGCAATAACGTGTATGTACACCCAGACACACATACACACTCTTGCAGTTTTGTTTTGACTGTGCTTCGTCGTCATGCGCTTCTTCTTCTCTTGCTTTATTGTTGCTCGTCACGCGGTTCTCTGTTATTGCGCTGTTAAGGCGCTGTTAGCTTTTTGGCTTTTATAATTATTTTCGTTTTTTGAATGCTTGATATTGAAACAAAAAACAACAACGAAGAAAAGAAGAGGCGAAAACAGTACATATAAAAAACGAATAAAGAAATGGGGGGACAAAAGAAATAACGAACAAATTTAATTTGTATGCCCAACGGACGATGGGCACATTGCTCAAATGTCGACGCTTGTCAGTTTGCCGGCGGCGCACAGTGGGCTGCATACGAAATTAAGCTCTCACATATGCGCCAGTGTGCTGTTATGTTTATTTATTTGATAAACTGTTGCTCCATGCTGTTGTTGCTTGGTTCGCTAAATTGGCAAAAGGCGAAAACGAAGAAGAAAATGCAAAAATGGAGGGATTGTTGGTGCGGAACGGGGGGTTGTATGAGGAAGACATCGTGCATGTTGTGTGGCCCCAACACGTACACATTTGTACGTACGTGTGCGTGTGTATTTATAGCATTTGTTTATACAGTGCACGCTCGCTGCAGTGAATTAATAATTCACCAAATAGCGCCGTGGGTCACTGTAACAATTCGCAAAGTAACACACAAAAATCACGCACATGGTCGCTAACAATTACAAATCACTTGTTTTATCTTTGACATGGACACACTGTATACATGTATAATGTTCATTTTTTCGAACAGTCACTGTACTTATGGAGACTTGGAGAACTCGAAAAGCAATAAATGCCAGGCGAACGAAAGCCCTGTCACACTCCTGCACAGTTGCACAGATGCATGTGCGTGGCCCATTGAGAAGAATGCAGATAGAGTGCGTTGGAGCGAGATACCATGCACGGCACACACAGTTTCAAGTGCTACGCACAGTGGGAGAAATGCATAAAAAAGTAGAGGTAAAGATTGACATTGTATAATTACAATTATTCTTGAATTTTTTGTATAATTGACCCAATATTACATTTTTATTTTATTTATTACTGTTTTAATTTAAAACAAAAGTAAGCCCATTTCACGAACGTTTCTGAAGAAACTATCCGTATTCTATTACTCATAAGGCAATGAATTCCGCTTTAAATCATAATAATTCCCCAGTATTACACACTTTACACACTCCTGATTGAATACGAAAGCATATCATTACCCTGTCGTTTTTTCCGCGAACCCACTGTAATCAGTTTCAGTTTACTGCATTCGAACTTCACTTGACTGCAACTTCGCTGCAATCTATTTTTGAAACAACTTTTATATACACGCGGGGATAGCTATAGTGCTGTGTAGTGCATATAGATCCATCCGATATTCCCCAATGTTTATTTGTTTTTCATACATTGGGAGCCGAAACCAAAAACAAACAAATTTGCGCGATGTGCGATCCGAGTTCTCCGTATCCCCCGAGTGTGAGGAGACCTATTTATAGATTAGTTTAGGTTTTGTGCTCACAACACATATTGCCTGTCTATGGAATATTTTTGCGATATTCCATGTTTATAGTTTTTTTTTCGCACTCCTTTGGCTCAGAATGAATCATTTGACAATTTATTACAAATTTTCAAGCAAGAGAAAAACTGAACCGTACCGGGGACGAAAAGTATAAACAACTAAATATTTATACAATGTTGTGTATTTGAAAAGAGAATCATACTTTTTGTAGTCGCCTTCCAATGAATGAAACCGAG